GTGAGTGGTTTAGGGAGCCCGCTCTGTTCTCAACCCCCCTTCTTCCCCTTCGGGGAGGGGTTTACCCCTCCCCCTACCCCCTCCCCCTGGGCCTGGAGAGGGCGCCCCGCGGGTCGTTGGAGGGGTCTTTTTCGACTCCTGGGAGGGCTAAAAAACGACGACCCTCACGAGGATTCTGGCCCCGACGGGGGGGCACCGTTTGGCCCCCCTCCTCTTCTTTAAAGCCAGAATCATTGATTTTACTACGGTTTTGGCCCCATTTTGGCGTCCTGAGGGGGCCGCGCTCATCTTCCTTCATAGCAAAATCATTGATTTTACGAAGGTTTTCGGCTCATGTTGTCCTTCTCAGGGGGCAGCTCTCATTTGCGCTTCTGAGGAGGTCGCAAGAGGCCCCAAGATGGCCCCAAGAGGCCCCCAGGAGGCTCCCAAGAGGCCTCCAAGAGGCCCCCAAGAGGCCCCCAAGCGGCCCCAAGAGGCCCCCAAGAGGCCCCCAAGAGGCCCCCAAGAGGCCCCAAGAGGCCCCCAAGAGGCCCCCAAGAGGCCCCCAAGAGGCCCCCAAGAGGCCCCACGAGGCTCCAAGAGGCCCCCAAGAGGCCCCACGAGGAGCCCGAACGACTCACACCAGGACGAGGCGCCCGAACGACTCACACCACGAGGAGCCCGAACGACTCACACCAGGACGAGGGCCCCGAACGACTCACACCACGAGGAGCCCGAACGACTCACACCAGGAGGAGGAGCCCGAACGACTCACACCAGGACGAAGGGCCCGAACAACTCACATCACGAGAAGACCGAACGACTCACGCCAGGACGAAGAGCCCGAACGACTCAAACCACGACGAAGAGCCCGAACGACTCGCACCAGGAAGAAGGGCCCGAACGACTCACACCAGGACGAGAGGCCCGGAGATATGCGGGGGCAGGCGGAAACACGCCTGAAAAACACGACTGTCGGTATGCTTCGCAAGAGTTGCTGTTTTGAGATGGGCTGGTGGGGATACGCGAAGCGCAAAGAATTTATATGTACATATGTACGCTGTAAACACATACAACAATGTAAGTATATTGTATACACCTAGACATTTATACGGAACGTGCATGCACGTGCGCGTGTATACATGCATGCGCGCATGTACGCACGCACGCATTCCGCGTGCGTGCAGAACTCAAAGGACCAAGGTGCATGGCGCGCAGCGCCAATGCAGTCTTGTATTTATTTGTATATATGTATAAATAAATAAATCTATATATATATATATACTAGTCGCGCGCGCTTCGCGCGCGCTCAAGTTCTAGCTAGGCTTGATGGGCCAAACCATGGAATATCATTGTTGTCGCTTCTTGCATCCAAGGGCTCTCTTGGAGGCCCTGCGCAAGCCGCGGAACCGTATAGGAGGGGTACTGCGAAAACGTGAAGATCATTAGTTCCCGTTTGGTATTCAAAGATTTGGGGCCCTCAAAGGCTTCCTGGTTTCTTTTCTGGGAGCTGAGGGGGGCCTGAATGGTGGTCTGTTGTGCAAGAGCTGACAGGGGGCGAACTTGAAAAAAAAGGAATTGTGGGATTCCCATGTTTTTCCCGTTGCCGTGCCTGGGCTGTGGGTTAGAAGTTTTCAGGATACAGGCCATGGTACGTTGGGATGCCTCTCGGGGTCTTCGTGCAGAAATAAGCATGTGGTGAGTTTAAAATTATCCCAGTGCGACCCTACCTAGGATTTGGAGCATTTAGGAAAGCAACATCTACATCTACACCGACAGCTACATCTACTATGCTATGCTATGATGCGCTATGCTATGTTATGCTATGCTATGTTATGCTGCGCTATGCTATGCTGTGCTGTGCTGCGCCATGCTATGCTATGCTATGCTGCGCTGTGCTGTGCTATGCTATGATAGGCTATGCTATGATATGCTATGCAGTGCTATGCTATGCTATGCTATGCTGCGCTGTGCTATGCTAATCATTGCTATGCTATGCTATGCTATGCTAGGCTGTGCTATGCTGCGCTATGCTATGCTATGCTATGCTGAGCTATGGTTTGCTTTGCTTTGCTATGCTATGCTATGCTGTGCTAATGCTGCGCTGAGCTGCGCTATGCTGCGCTAAGCTAAGCTAAGCTAAGCTAAGCTAAGCTTGGGTACGCTAAGCTATGCTAAGCTAATTTACGCTAAGCTAAGCTAAGTTAAGCTAAGCTAAGCTAGGCTAGGCTAAGCTAAGCTACGCTAAGATACGATGAGATAAGCTAAGCTGAACTAAGCTTAGCTTAGCTTAGCTTAGCTAAGCTAAGCTAAGCTACGCTGGGTGAACCCAGGGGGCGCGACTGGGGGAACCGCGGGGCGGGGACTGGGGGAACCGCCCGGGGCGATTTCCACTGCCCGGCCCCTTTAAGCTAAGAGAGTAAGAACCCTTCTAGGCAGAGCCTAGGTAGGGAATAAAAGGATTGAAAGTTTCAAATCATGGGATCATGGGATCTCGAGTTCTATGGTGGTTTCAGGGGTAGCCAAAAGGACGCGAAGACGATCCAAGAGAGTGCCAAGACAGCGTCAAAGAGTTCAACTATATTCCCAGAATATCTTTGCATGTGACTCCGAAGTCTTGATGGGGCTCGAGGAAGAGGATAGGGAGTACGAGTCCCAACTTGAAAAACAAGCGATCTCTGGAATTCCCTTTTTCCAAATTCCTCTGTCTTGGAGCGTTGGGAGCGGGAAAACGCGAGAAGGCGAAACACGTGGACAAAAACCACTGGAAATCAACGGTGCTTTTTGGGGGGCCTCTCAAGGGTCTGGGGTGTGTTGAAGGCCTCTGGGGGGTCCCAAATTCCTCTCGGAGGTCTCTGGAGGCCTCCTGCTCCCGCTCTTGGGCTCATCTTGGGCCTGTTTTGGGGTGGTCTGGACCTGTCCTGGGCGCCTCTTCGGCAGTCTTGGGGCCGTCTTGGCCTGTCTTGGGGCCGTCTTGGGGGCCTCTTGGGCGGTCTTGGGGCGATCTTGGGGGCCTCTTCGGCCGTGTTGGAGCGTTGGAAGCATGAACCGGTGGGAAGGCCAAACCCCCGCCCCCGTCAAGAAAACCATGAAACTAAGGTTCTCCTGGCGCTCTCGGGAGGCCTCTCGGAGCTCTTGAGGTCTCTTGGAGGCCTCCTAGGAGCCTGGAAAGCCGCCCGAAAGCTATCCTGGGTTGCTGGGGAGCGTCTTGGGCCTTTCTTTTACGTTCTGGGAGCTTCTTGGGGTCGTCTTGGGCTGTCTTTGGGCATGTTGGGGGCTCCCCGGAAGGACGGGAAGCGCGGTACCAGGAGCGTAACCAGGGTGTGATCGAGGTGGAGGACGCCCCGGGAGGGGGCCCGGCCTATTTGCTTTAATTATATATGTATATATATATATACATACATACATACATGTACACACACTCACACACGTACCCCCGAGAGAATAAAACTCGGATAATAATTTAAGCCGGAAGGTCCCGTCCGCTACTTCTCTGGCCGATTGTCTTGAGACATCCTAAGAATTCAAAAACTGGACACGCCCCCTACGCAGATCGCGACGTCAGGGCCAACAAATACACAGGATGTTCCCAGCCTGTTAAATAAGCATGTAAAATCACAATGGGTATCCGTGACTTGGGACGCGCTTCTTGAAAAACGACCGTTGCGCACGAGACCACTCCAAACGTTGAAACCCGACGAAGTTGCAATTGTGCGCATATCTTCCAAAACGAGAGCTGCGCTCGAGAAATCCAGCCAAAGTTGGATTCGGAGCGTACTTTCAACTGCAATCGCACGGTGTGTCACCCCTAACCCCCACGTCAGCCACACTCAGCGCAAGGAGTGGCAACCCCACCTGCATTCGACTACGATCCCACAAGTGCACTTCCTTCCCAACAGCCATCTGGTGTTCTTCAGTATCCTCCTTCCCTTCTTTCTCCTCTGCTTCTGCATCTGCTGATTCCTCCTGCTGCTCGTCCTCAACCTCCGATCTGACTTCATATTCCTGTTCTTGTCTGTATTATGCGATTATTACGTGATGCAAGTGCTTCTTCTGATCCTCCGCCTCCCCTTCCACTTGCTTCTCATCATACTCAGCATTATCCTCCTCTCCGCGCCAGGCGGTGTGTCCTCCTCCTCCTCCTTCTCCTCCTCCACCTCCTCCTCCTCCTTCTCCTTCTCCTCGTCATAACCATGACCAACAGCAACAGCAACATCAAAATCAACACCAGCATCAACATTGTCATAATGATACAGATCTTCATCCCCCTGAGAACTGAGAGCTGACGGCAATAGGGTCGCACATACGCAGCCATCCCTCCTAATCCTCCTCCTGATCATCCCCATCCCGATCTTCCATCTGGTCCTTTTCCTGCTCCTCCTCATCATCCTCCTCCCTCCTGAGCATCCTCCTGATCCTCCTGCTCCTCCTGATCCTCCTCCTCCACCTCCACATGCTTCTCCTCATCCCACTCATCCTCCTCTCCTCGCTAGGCGTGCTCCCCTCATCTCCTTCTCCTCCTCCTCCTCCTTCTCCTCTTCCTCCTCCTTCTCCTCTTCCTCGTCATCATCGTTACAACAACGGAATGATATTGATCATCATCAGCAGCAGCATAATCATCATGATCATGATCATGATCATCATCAGCAGCATCATCAGCATCGTCATCATCAACATCAGCATCAACATCGTCATCGCCATCGTCATCATCAGAATAAGCATCATCAGCATTCTTATCATCATCACCATCATCAACGAGCTCCTCCTCCTCTTCCTCCTCATCATCACCAGTATCATCAACGTTGTCACCAACATCAGTAGCAACAGCAGCAGCAACATCATCATCGTCACCATCGTCGTCGCCAACAACAACATTATCATGACCAGCATCAGCAGCAGCATCTCCGCGACGAGTTTGCTCCTATCCTCTCCTCATCCTCATCCTCCTCCTCGTGCTCGTCCAAGTCCACGGCTTTGCCACAGCACATCCCTTGTACTTTCTAACGCCCAAGGGGCAAAGCCTGCACAGACCACAGCCCGGTGCCCTTGGAGCCGATCATGTCAGCAGTGTTGTCCACCAGGAAGCTGCCGTCCGCCGACTCCGCGTCCCTCTGGCCAGCCACCTCTCACGGAGGGGGTATCCAGCTCGCGGCGGCCGAACTGGAGCCAGAGGATAAGTCTTTTCCCGCGCAAGCGCAAACAACTACTACCATGCTTCCGTAGCGTTTCCATGTGACGCACAGACAAGAGGACGAGGAGGAGGAAGAGGAAGAAGAGACATAGGAAGAGGAGGAAGAGGAGGAAGAAGAGGAAGAGGAGGAAGAGGAGGAAGAGGAGGAGGCCAGTGGAGGAGGAGGCCAGTTGAGGAGGAAGAGGAGAAAAACGAGGAGGAAAAGGAGAACGAGCGCACGTAACCATGGCGAACATGGTCGTGTTAATATATGGATAGGGCTGCACGTGCTGCCACACGTGCCTGGTGAACCTAGCCTGGCGGTGCGCACGCTTTCATTCCGAGATGGGGCCGAAGCTCATGGTAGATGTGATATGCAAAAACAATACGTCGATGCATACGTGGCGGATTCCCGAAATCCTGAACCCAAAAACATTTTCATCTCTTGGGGGCACATCTTGTACTTCCGCTGCCTTCCGCCAGCCTTCCGACGGCTTTCGCTCGCGGAGGGGGCCTCGTTTTACGTCTGCCGACCTTCCGCCGCCCTTCCGCCGCCTTTCGTCGAGGAAGAGATGACACCTGTTTCCATCGTCGAAGGCAAGGCCCTTTTTTGAACGCCCCACGTAGGCGTCCGTTTTCAATCCCCTCGTAATCAGGCTCACCCCCCAAACCAAGTCGAACCAACGGGGACTCGGGGGAAAGGAAAGTGGGTCTGAGATCGGCCGCGTGCCACAACATCTGGCACAAGATAAATTGCACTGGTGATCCACGCACCTGCGAGGGTCCTTGATGTGGGCCCAGGCGCGAGAGGGTGCCTGATGGGAAAGGGTGCTACGCAGACGCCTCCAACGGAGGCACATGTCGCTGGGGGAGGGAAGGTCGAGGTCGGGAAACCAGGGGGGGAGGCGACGAGCTAGATGGACGGGCATGCCGTCTGCGACGGTCTGGGACTGAAGCTAGCGGGAAAAGTGAATATGGTAACGATGCGGTTTCTTCCTCTGAAGCGCAGCACTTCCAGCTGCTTCTGCCTGCTCGTGCGCTCGCAGGAGGATGAATGTGGAGGACGGGAGGCGTGTCAGAGGTCTGAGGGAGGGGGGCTCGGAGGACGGGGTGACGACGGCCACGAAACGCTGAGCAGTTGAGGTCCGAACATGCCAGACGGCCTGCTGCAAATGCACGTGAGCACAGACGCTGGAGAGCTCTTCGCGAGGGTCTGAGGGTGTGATAGCACGCTCGCCACATGAAGGACACTTCTGCGGTCTTCAGGAGTTCAGGAGTTCGAGACCTCGAAGCCAGTGGATGAAGCTCGGGGAGACGGAGCAACTTGTGTAGCGCGTGCGATTTGCGTTGCAAGAGCTTGTTCAGGGAAAGGTAATAATTCATCAACATAAGACATGCCTGGGATAATCAGCACCCTGTATAGAGTCAGACTCGCTTGGGTCGGAGCACGTGACTACCATTTCTGGCCACCCGACACAAACTGGTCAGAAAGGTCGGCCCTGGGCCAAATTGTATCCCCAAGTATCGGCAAACATTACACACTACGAAATCAGCCCATTAAGGTACCCAAGCAGCGACGGAGTCGCGAAGTGCCGTTATCCTTTCGCCCTAGAAAGGGTATCCAAGAACGGGACCAGACAGCATCTCTTGGGCTGGAGGTCCAGGCTGGCTAGCGCGGACGCTGCTTGCAACGGCGGGTGCATGAGAGGAAGCAGGGAGAGGCGGGGAAGGACAGCTACAACGTCGTCAGCAAAGGCACCGGCAGCGAGCTCGATGGGGGGAGAAGGATTGACTGCCGCCAAACGTTTTTCTTTCGAGTGCGGCGCTGGCCTCGGGGGTGCAAAGCGCTCAACTGCCGCGCGTGAGACCGCGTCGATGCGCCTGCAAAGGGGATCCACCCCAAGGGCCCAAAGTGCGCCACTTAGTGGGCATCTTTGAGTAGACCACGAGTGATTTCAAAGAATCTGTGACGTTCCGAACCTACGTTCATGAGGCCGACGGCATCAGCTGAGAGGGCTCGGATTGCATTTAAATGCCATTGGGGAATGTTGAAGCGTCTCAGGACCTCCTGTAACCATTGCCGAGTCATGCTAGGGAACGCTACACGGATATCAAAGGAAATAAAACATGGGCGCCGATCCGCAGCGTCATCACCTATGCTTCATAGCCGGGCTTCAGCTTCCAAGTTGATTATGTGCGCGCCGACACCGCAGCCTCAAATGATACCTTGCTGGTTGCGATGGACATGTTTCTTGGCTGCCGAACTGAGGTGAAGATTAACTGCCTGCGCGAGGGCCTCACTGTCGTGTTTTGTTTCTCCCTTTTTTCTCTGAGCGGTCTCAGGTCTCAGGGGCCCTCACGTGTAGGGATCAATGCAAAAGCGGAATGATTCAGGCCTTCGACAAGGCCGTCGCCAGAGAATAGCCTTAGAAAAACTTCGCACAGGATCTCGCCGGCCGTCGGGACTGCCCGCCAGGTCCCACATGGGATCCGATCGGCGCCGGAGGAGGGGGCCCTACCAAATTTCAGGGCTCTCGCCAGATCCTGGCGAAAGGAACGCGGGAGGTCAGAGAAAAGGAAAACGGGCAGGTGGAAAGATATGCATTCCTAAATGGCCCGTTCAGAGCAGGACGTGGCCTCGAAGATCGGGCGCTACAACTCGGTAGTGGCCGCCGCTATGTCTCCAGGCTCACGCAGCGCGACGCCATATCCAGGTTGGCCATGCTCGAAAACGTTCAGGATGAGCCCCTTCCTCCTCTCGCCGGATTCCATGCCATCGCCCGCCGCAATGAACTCTCACGGATCTCCGTGGCCACGGGGGCTCCCGCTGGAGAGCCGTCGCCCTGAGCTGCCCGTTGGCGGCGGTGGGCACGCCGCGCGGCAGCTTGAACAATCTCTTCGAAGCGCCACTGATTCGTGGATGTGGCGAAGCTGCGGCAGCCTTCGGAATCGCCGGTGTACACCAGCCCGCCTTCTGCAATCCAAAGTAACGCCTGCCCAGGTCAATGGCGTCCATGCGTCGTTGAGGCGGGTGGCGGCCCTGTCGCCGCGCCGCGCCGGCGATAGCGCGCAATGTCATGATGTTCACCTCAGCCACCCCGGCGTTGTCTCCCGCACGAAAACCTCGCTGTAGCTCGTTGCGCGCGAGGCGGACGGCCATGATCATCAGCTCTGTGGTGTTGATTCACTTCTGGTTGGCGTCATAGCTGTCGAGGTTGTGCGCTTCCGCGCAGTTCTGCTATATTTCGCTGTGCGTTTTGTGCCTGAAGATGACGGATGGGACGCCGCTGTGTTCTGCAGCCTCAGACGGTCGCTGGGCGAACCGCATCGTGATAACAGTATCGTCTGGTAGAGCCCAGTATGCAAGTCTCTGAACTTTTCCGGATAAGGTCAAAGCTGTAGTCCGAGTCGATGGCGACATGCGTGCTTCGCGATGCGAAGATACAACCGATGGCATTCAAGGTCTCGGCGGCGCGCGAGTAGCGCGTAGGCAGTGGGCAGTCGATCTCGAGCACGCCACGCTGGAAGAGATACCACTTAAAAACTTCAGATTGAGAGCTCCTCCCCCTTCCCTTCCCACCCCCTTCCCTCCCCTCCCCCCCCATCCCCTCCCTGCCCCTCCCCGACCTTCCCCGCCACACCACCCTGCTCGACACCCCCTACTCTCTGCCCCCCCGCGGCAGGGGGCGTGGTGGAGCCCGGCCAGCGGCACGCGGCCGGAGCTGGCGGTACTGAGACAGGCCCGCCCAGCGCTCCCGCCCCCCCCCCCCTTCCCTAGACTCTCCGGCCCGCGCCTGCCGGGAGGAGGAGCGACAGGAACGACGGGCGTCGTCGGCCGAGCGACGAGGCTGTCTGTCCGCCCTCTCCCCCCTCCCGCCCCCCCAACCCGCCTCATCCCCGTCCTCTGTCTCCCCCCCTCCCCCTCCCCACCTTCCCCTCCCCCCCTGTTTCACCCCCGCCCCTCATCCGTTTCCCGTCTCGCTCTTACCCCCCTCCACCACACTGCCACCGCCGCTTTCCGTAGCCGGTTGGGCTCGGCCCCGCTCGAAGCCATGGCCTGGCGAGCCGTGCCATGGACCCCCAGAGCACCAACGCACTGGCACTGTGGGCCTCCCTGGAGACCGCGGCTGCCGCCGGGAGAGGGGCGCGGGCGGTGCTGCCCGAGGAAGACAGGGGCCTGGCCGACGTGCCCTGGCTCTGTCCTCCCTGCGAGACGTCAGGGCCCTCTGGCCTCCCCCCTCGTGTACGGCGCGTGGCGCTCGAACGACGGAGCCCTCCGGGCCGCCCTGCAAAGCCTCGAGCGCCGCCCCACGGTAGAGGCGCGGGGCCTGTTCACCCCCAAAGCCTCGCCAGGGTGGGCCCTCAGACCCTGGCGTGGTGAAGGAGTCGCGACGGGACTGCGGGCCCCGTTCTGGGCCAGGGGGCCCTCACGGGATCGATGCGCATCGGAAAGCGCCGCCGACAGAGGGTGAAAGATGGGGGCTCCGGCCGTCATCGGTTCACGACGCCTTGGCGTTTTCACGACTGGGGCGCTGAGGGCGCACGTGCCCAAAGGCTTCCTCCTGCGCGCCCTGGAACTGGAGGCCAGCCGGTCTGGGCCCCCGCGTGGGACCTGGAGGCAGCCCAGGTGGCCGCGCGCAGAGGCGCATGTGGGACGAGGGGGCGACCTTCTGAGAAGGCCCGGTTCCTTGTGAGGGCATCCCGGAAGGGCCTGGCTCATTCTGAGGGGCTATGGCAGGTTCGCGAGGTGACGACCCCCGCGTTGATTTCTGACACCGCGTGCATCGTTCAAACTGGTACGATCGGAGACTTCTCGATCGCCAGATCGTCTCATATCGGCCGATGCTGAGCCACTGGCGGCGCGCAAACCTTGAACGCCCGCGGCGGGGTCGCAGCCGCATCGACACGACGCGAACCTGCTGCGCCGCTCAGGAGGGGGCTTTCTCAGAAGGCACGAGGGCGCTGCAAAGAGGCGGGGGCCCAGACACGGGAGGTCGTGATCTGTTCAGTATGTACGCGGTCCACGGGAGTCCCGATCATTTCCCCAGGGCCGGCTTTTCATTCCGAGCCATTTTTGAACGGTCCCGGGGCCCGGGAAGGGCCCCCAGAGGCCGACGGTTGGGAAAAACCTCCGCCCTGATTGCCACAAGAAGTTGCATGCCTGGGGGTGCCTCCTCAGGAGGCCGCCAGATCCCCCTCCGTCCCACACCCCCCTCCCTGCGCGACGCAGACTACCGCTCCCTGCACACCCAGCCTCGACCACGAGCAAGGGGAGTGCCAGGCCTGGGGGCCAGAATGCATCCATATTCGGGAGCGTCCAAGAGGGAGGCGTCCAAGAGGGGTTTCGCAAATCATCGCCCGAGGCATGTGCGCGAACGAAGGGGGCACCATGAAATACGGAGAGATAATGGCCCTGGCTGTAATATGCCCCCCCCCACCTGGTCATCATTCCTCACATATCCACCGCCTCCCGAGGTCCAATGAGATCGGCGTGCCAGGCAGTACACTCACCCTCTCCTGCGCCACCCTCTCTGTCGCGGTGACCCCCGGCCCTGCCAGCCCCACCGCCGCCTCGCACCCCGCCTCCTCCCATCGCTGGCCTGGGGGCCGAGATCGGAGTCCCGCCGCACCTCTCGAGCTCGGGGCCAGGTCGGCCATCGCGGCGTGAGCAAGAAGAAAACGGATCCTCTGTATCCTGGTCCCCCGGGGCCTTCCCTCGAGACCAACTCTTCGTCCTGAGTCGTCCTCTGACGGCCCCAGAGGCCGTGGAGGGCCCCGGGCGCCCGAGAACAGCCAAAAACCGCAGGACCCGTTTCCCTCAGGACCCGTTCCCTTCATGGCGACGGCGTCGGTTCGGAGATCGGGAACCAGACCACATACCAGAATCGAAGACTGGAAAATGTTCGGGGCAATCGGATCGACATCAAACAGGTCTGGAAATTAGGGTGTGGCCAGCGGCTGGCTGGCCACATTCTCGATCGGCGGGGGAGTGAGAGGAGATGGGACAGGGCAAGCTAGGCGCATTCGCACCCTATCTGACATCCGCTCCTTCCCCCACAAAGCAAAAACAACAACAAAAAATCGGCGCGATCCTAATTAGGGGTCGTCTTTCTTACAAAGCAGTTCAAAGCACTGCAAAGCTCCTCGGCAATGCTTGGCATTGGTGGGCATTGCTTGGGACTGTTTGGCATTGCTTGGTATGTTTGGCATTGTGAGACATTGACGGGCATTGTTTGGCATTGCTTCGCATTGATTCGCATTGCTTGACATGACTTGTCTTGACTTGGCATTAAGTTGCATTGCGTGGCGTTGCTTAGCGTTGCTTGGCATTGCTTGACGTTGATTGGCATTGCTTGGCCTTGCTTGGCATTGTATTGGCGTTGCTTTGCATTGCTTTGCATTGCTTTGCGCTGTTTGGCATTCGTTAGCATTGCTTGGTATTGATGTGCGTTGCTTGGCGTTGTTTTGCATTGCTTGGCATTGCGTGGCGGTGCTTAGCATGTCTTGGCGTTGCTTGGCGTTTCTTGGCAGTGTTTTGGAGTTGCAAGAAAGACCAGACCACCCCTAGAAACAAATTATCATGTCAAACAGTTCGGAGAAGGCGAGAAAGAAACAAGACCTAGCAACGCAAGCACGGCAATGCAGAAGCACGACCAAGCATCCCGAGGAATGCCTGATAAAGAAACAATGCAACATGGTGCTGGTGGTAGCCTGTTTTGGCTATGCTATGCTAATTATGTTGTGAGGTGTGGTGTCATGCACGGGCGCACTTATGTTACTTATGTTGTGAGGTGTGGTGTCATGCTATGTTCTGTGTGATCCACTATGTCATAGCTTAGGGTGGTATGCTGTGCTACGTTTCGCTACGATATAGCATTGTATGCCGCGCTCCGCAATCTTATGTGCTGTCATGGTATGGACAGATGGGTGTTGTGATGCTGTGTTGTGCTGCGGTTTGCTGTATCGTGGTTTCGTATGCGAAACTATGTTATGCCATGTTATAGTACGCTATGTTGTTTTATAGTGTGCAGGTTCCGATATGTCATGACATGCATTGGTGTGCTGTGTTGTGTTATGGTATGAAATGTCGTGTCATGTGATGGTGTGGCATAATATGGCTTGGTCTGTTCAGCCAGTCGTTGAGTCGTTATGGTATGCTTCATGTGTTATGTAATGATATGAACTGTGATGCTGTGGTATGGTATGCAGTGCTCTGTCATGGCGTTATTCTACGACATGGTATGTCATGATATGGTATGTTATGCTTGGATAGGTTCTGTTCGGTTGTGTGGTGTTATACTCTGTTCTGTGGGGGGCCTGGGGATCTCGCGGCCGCGGCATGCAGAGTGGGCGAGTCGGCGCGGGGGGCGGGACCCTCAGGGATTATCAGGGGACCTGGGGACCTGGTGGCCGCAGTACGCAGAGCGGGCGAGTCGGCGCGGGGGGCGGGACCACCAGGGATGATCTGGAGCCTGAGGATCTGGAGGCCGCGGTATGCAGGGCGGGGGCGCGGTATGCACGGCGGGCGGTCCGGAATGTCTGTCCTTAAAACCTAAGGACCCAAACCTATCGGGTGGGGAACAAGCCCGGGACACGCCCTTCCGCCGGCACGACCGCGTCCAGCACCCGCCAGAGTCTTCACGAACAAATCAGAACCCTTCCCGTATAGGTAGGCAAAGCTTTATTAGGGAGCACACATTGACATCCTAGACGAAACAATGTGCGGGAGAAAGGAGGCCCCGCTCGGACGGGATCCTGGGCGAGAGGAGGGCAGCACTCAAATATTGAGTCATTGCCACGAGAGAAGCAGAGACGGACCGCCCCAGCGGGACCGCAGCGCCTCTATGGTGATGTCCAGCATGTAGCTGTCCAGCGGCCCTCTGGCCTTCCAGCTCGCGAACACCTCCTTAGCGGCCTCGCGCCGCGTGCTGGCAAGGACCGGCGAGCAGCACCCTGCCAGGACCAGCCGGGAAGAGCACTGGGCAAGAGAGCGAGGGATGATCAAACTGGATGGCCTCCAGCAGTGCGGGGAGGAGACTTTGGAGGAGGGCCCCCATTGACAGGCGGCAGATTGCTCGCGGCTGCGTGGGCGCGGGCGGCGAGATTGACTCCGCCGAGCCGCCGCAGGCCCAGACCACCGACGACCTGGACTGTCCGAGCCGCCCGCCACTGGAACCCAGGGCTGGCCTTTCTAGGTCACCTGACTCCGCGCACCGCGCCCGGCGATGCCTTCGCGCTGTTGCGCCCTCGGGCCACCACTGGGGAGCAGGGCAACCGCTCTCTAGCCAAGACCGCGACGCGCGGAGCGCGAGGCGCGATTGCCTTGGCACCCCCGCGGGTGACCCGGGCTGTTCAGGCTGCGCCGAGAACGGCGCAGACTCCCGGGCGCGATCCTGAGAGACTCTGGGGGATTGGAGGGAGAGTTGCGTCAGCTTTCTGTTGCAAGGGACGTCTCGCACTCCCGCTGGGGTGCTCCTCAGCCAAATATATGCGACGGCATGCTTGCAACGGGATGGCGGCAATGAGCTCACTGAAGGCACAAACTTACCCACTCGACCCTCCGCCCAGCACAAAGTTGTGCCAACAAGTTCGAGTGAACAGGCTCCTAGCGGCCTGGTGCGCGACTCGAACATGTAAGTAGACGGCGCAGATGCGGCGCAGCACGCTGCCTGTGCGCGTTGCGGAGCTTCGCGGCGCGCGACGGCAAGGAGCAGTGGCGCTGCGGCTCGTGGCAGTGGCGCTGCGGACCGTACGAGCGCGCGGCACGGCCCGAGACACCTCCGGCACCGCGGAGAAGTCGCGGCGGCGGGTCGTGCGCCTCAGGCTGGACCTCTGCGGGCCCATTCCCATCGAAGGGCAACCTCGAGGAGCAAAAATGGCACAATAATAAACTGTCGCAGGTTCGCGCGGACTCCTCGGATCGGCGCTGGAGCCCCCTGTCGGCGCCTCCTGCGCCGCCCCATTAGCAGTCGGGAAAAGCTTGAGCCTTGCTCCGGACTCAGGGCTGCAGCAGAGACATACGATAACAAATCATGCGGCAAGAGTTCTAGGGCCCAGAGATTCTAGGGAAACGTCTGCTGCCAATCTTCGAACTTCCTGAGGGGCTTCTGTTGGTCCCCAGGGCCGTCGCAAGATAAGGAATCTCTGCGGGGCACCCGCTGGCAGTCTGGTTTCTTTTCCAAGGCGCCTACTGCCAGGTAAAACCAAAGCCGTACAGACAACAACTGGCGCGCCGTTGACTATTTCTCGTGCTTGCCAGGGGCAACGCTAGAAGCCGCCGAACCCTGTCCGCCTGGCTAATAACAAGGCGACGGGCCCTCGCGTCACATCGGGCTCAGACCCTAACATCAAATCGAGTGCGGCGGCAGCCATGCAGGACACTAACGTCCTACTCTTCTGATCCCCGCCGCAAAGCCTGCAGAAGCTTACCACTAAAGCCCCAGAGCGTCAAGGGGCATGGAAACATCCAGGCGCTGACACAAGCGTACATGTTAAGTGCAGTGCACGATATCATGTGGCTTCGTCCGAGTAGCGCGATGGCAGCAGAGAAGAATATAGCAAGCTTGCAAATGACGATTGCATGCTCAATATTCGCCCGAAGCGGGATCGTCTCAAGATGGAGGCGCATTGATTGGTCATGCTTCCCTGGGCCTATTCCGCATCCTGGATGCCCGGGAAGCAAGGACGCTCTGACCTGAAGTCCCATGCCAACACCTTGGTTGCATCGTGGTCCCAGCGCACACTGAACACCCGCTCAGGCAGCCGCTGCACCGGCCGAGCGCCTGGGGGGGTCTGGCAAGGCTGCGCAAGCAAACGGAACATGACCCCGTGGGTCCCCACATCCCGGTTCGACCCATCCCTCCGCCATGCGCCCGCATCCCATCTCAACCCCCGCCTGGCCCCGACCCATCCCAGCATCTTCGCCTGCGGCTGGTTCACATCGCGAAGACGTGCGCAATGACTTCTGACACCGCGCGGATCGCTCAACGTCGACCGGTCGCGGCTTCGCGATAGCGCTGACCATTCGGCATCGGCCGATTCTGGGCTACTGGCGACGTTCAACCTCGAACGCTCGCCGCCGCGTCAACGCGGCACGAAACTACCGTTCACTGAGATCCGAATTCACGAAACAAATGAAAACCGTAAGAACGCTCAACCGGAGCTATGGGCCCCGTCTTCCTGCTGCATTACTCGGGCCGGATCGATCCGTGAGAGTCCAACTTGGACCCTCACGGATCGTTCCGGGCCCTTGGACCGTCCAAGGGCCCGGAACAGGGCAAAACCGCCCAGCTTGCAGAACAGCCAGGATCTCAGGGTAGCCTCCCGACCGCTGCGCCCGCCTCCTGTCCCCACCCGTGCTTGCCGCGCGCCTCGGCAGCAGGAGCTCCTTTTCCTGTGCACCCCGAGCCATGACGTAAATGTAGGCGCTCGGGCACACGTCGCGCGGCCGCTCCGCTCCGAGCACAGCCGCCCCTGGAGGCGGGCTGGCGCGGCGGGCTCCTGCCGCGACGACGTCGGCCCTGGTGTCCTGGTTTCGCATGGGCCACTCAGTATCGAGCGGCCTCCGCTCTCAGAGGTGTCACTCAGAGGCCCTCGGCCCCACCACCCGATCGGGGCTCGCGCCGTGTGGCATCCACGGGCTCCCAGCGCTGCCGCCGCGCCAGCGCTGCCGCCGCGCCAGCGCTGCCGCCGTGCCAGCGTCGAAGCAGCAGCGTCCCCGCGCCAGCGTCGCCGCCGCGTCGAAACGGCAGAACCCTGCCGCAACAGCCGCGTCCACATCCACGTCCGTGACGGGAATGTCATGATAGGAGTAGCTCAGCATCTTTCCCAGGACTTCATGAGCATCTAGCGGCCATCGTCTCTGCAGCCCGCGTGAAACATCAGGGCATGTGGGGAACCCTGGGAACCTTAGAACCTATCAGTATCATCCCTGAGCTTCTGCGACGGCGCCCTGGCGCACGGCAGCCCCCCCCCCCTTCCCCTGACGGACAGCGGAGCCACCCGCCCCCTCCCTCCCCCCCCCCTGGTGGGGCGAAGGCCCGGTGCGCGCCTCGCTCCCGAGGCCGAGGCCCCGGAGCGCGGCGTAGGCCTCGGCCCAGATCTGCAGCACGGCGTACTCGCCCGCCTCCAGAGCAGCAAAGAACGGCACAAGCACACCGCCACCGTGCTACCATAAGCGTCTTGACTGACTAGGATGTCTCTCAGGTCCGCACGGATTTCTCAGATCGGCGCTGGACTCCCATTCCCTGGCGCGCGGAGCGCGCCAGGGGTGGCGCAGGAGGCGCCGCCAGGGGGCTCCAGCGCCGATCCGAAAAATAATGTTTATGCCGTTGCTTGTTCTTCGAGTTTCGAGTCTCGGCAACGCCCCACGCCTCTCGCGCCGCGAAACAAAAAAAACACGGCGCGAGGCACTTTGGCCATTTTCGGTCTCCAGGGGCTCTCGCCGAACCCAGGGACGGCGAAAGAGCTGCTCGGGATGGAAGGCTGGTCCAAGGGCATGGGTCGAGACCTCCAGGGCTCCGCCCTCTGGAAAAAATACGATGTCGGGGGCCTAGGTCCCTCATGAGAATCGCGGTCTTGGCCACTTCTGTGCCTTCTCGTCGCGCCCCAGCTGGATTCGCCTTCAGACGCGGTTCAGAACGCACCCCAGGAGAGGTCCGGCGATCGACTTTCAAGGCCCGGATCGCAGACGTCCACCGTCTTGACAAAAAGCAAGGCGGAGGCTTTTCGCCGCGCTCGGCATCTGGATGCCGTCCTCGGGACCTGGGGCCGTCAAAACAACGGCCTGGGACAAAAAAATTGCCCTAGGAAAGAGTTCGGGATTTCCGCGGACCCCGTATTGAAAAACAGTGCATCGGATCTCCGGAGTCGCGCGCCCGCGCCAGCATGCCCTCAAGGCCCAGCGGTCGGATGGCCCAACTTGTCAGCCCAAGGCGTGGCTGGCCAGCAACGGAATTCGACATCCATCCGGCTGCCAGTGGAGCGCCTTTTCTGCCCACCGCTCGTGAATCCTCGGCGACGTGCTCACGCGCCACGGACATACAGATACGGTCGGGTCACGAGTGTCAGCCGACTCGCCCAAGTGCCCAGGGCACGGAGACATCTAAGACGAAGAGCCTATACGGTGGAGAGCCTGAGCACAAAGAAAATGAGGGTGCCCCTACCAAACCGCGGCTGCTCTGAACTCTCGTGCCAGCTGTATCCCGATCCATGAGGCAGCCAGCAGCACGAATCCACACCGTAGGCTCACTGAAAGCTGCCTGAGGACAAAATATCGGATCCCTGCGCTAATTTCTTGGAACAGCGACGGGCCCTCTCTGCCAGCACCTCCGGCGACGCAGGGGAGCGGGGTACAATGTCGATCCAAGAAATCCGCGCGGACCCCCGAAAGTGTATGTTCACTGCGTATTTCCTTCGATGCCAGATCGCGATCCCATGGATACGTCCCGCGCAGGGAATCCGAGCAAGGCCACCGCGTGTCCACTAAATAGCGGCCAAAGCGTCTGGACCGCGAGGCCTTGGGAATGGATATGCGCGCGGGCAGAAATTACGGACGTCGGCGCTGTTCGCGATTAGCTTGGGCCCCTTCAGATCTTGCCGAGACTGGCGCGTTCCCCCGAAAATCCGCCGACCCTGTCGGCGTGTGTGAGGGCTTGTCCGTTCGAGTCGTCGTCTCCGTCATTCGTTAGTCGTCGTCTCTGTCGTCCCCTCTCCCTGCGCCCCCCCTTTCCCTGGGCCGTTGCCGCTCCCCCCCCTTGCCTCTTTGCCTGGGTCCTCCTCCTCAAGCGCTGGGCCCGTCGCCGCTCCCCCCTTCCCTAGGCCCTCCTCCTCAAGCGCGCCAGCCAAAGCGAAATTGAGCAACGTCGTAATTGACTCGAAATGAAAAATGAAACCCCTTCCCTTCGATCCCTCTCCTGCCGGGAGGGGTGGGTCTGGGGGAGGCCCGGGGCCCCAAAAAGCCCCAAGACGGGCCAACAGTGCTCCAAGAGGCCCCCAAGACAGTCTAAGAGGGCCCCGATTTGCCAAACGATCTGTCCAAGACGCCTTGGTGGCCTCCAGACGGCCAAAAGGCCCTGCAAGACGCCCCAAGAGGCCTCCAGGAACACTCCCAAGAGGGCCCCTAGAGGACAAATCACTGATTTCCCATTGGTTTTTGAAGCATTTCGGCGTTCTCGCCTCTTCCGCTTCCCGACGCTCCAAGACGGCCCAAGAGGCCCCCCAGATCGCCCCAAGACGGCCCAAGAGGGCTCCAGGAGGGACCCAAAACGGCCCAGGAGGGCACCAAGACTGCCCAAGACGCCTCCAAGACGACCCAAGAGGCCCCCAAGACGGCTCCCAACGAGCGCCCAGACGAGGGACCAGAACGGACATTTCGAGCCCTCGGCCCCGAGAGGCTCCCAGGAGGAACCCAAGAGGCCCCCAAGAGGCCCCCAAGGCCCCCAAGAGGCCCCAAGAGGCCCCCAGAGGCCCCTAGGAAGACCCGAGAGGCCCCCAAAGAGGCTCCCAAGAGGCCCGTAAACTGTCTCCCGGAGACCCCCGAGAGCGCTTCGAAGAGACCAAAACAAGCATCCATGAGGACTCTGACACACGTCAGCGTCGTCGTCGTCGCCGCCGCCGCCGCCGTTGTCGTCGTTCCCCTTCAGGGTCGGCGGCACCAGCCGTGAGTCCTTCGCAACCCAAGCGCAACATCTTCAATGTTATTCGGCCAGCGCCCATATGATTCTCGGCGGGCCGAGTCGGCGGAGTGCGTCCCGAGATGGCGACTTGGCAAACATCTCAACCAACGCGCTTCTTGAAGTGGTCGACGTCTGCAGGCCGCCTCAGATCCCCAGGGCCGTCCAAAAACGGTCCTCGGGATGAAAAGCTCATGCTGTCAGAGGCGTCGGGGGCTCCAGGGCCCCGCAACTCGTAGAAGCAGAGTCGTCGGAAGTCTGGGCTCCTCTCGGCGGGCGGAGTCGGCGGAGCGCAACCCCAGATGACTACGCACTCCCGTGAATCGGCAGCTCAACGGTGCGGAGATGCTGGTGCCAAGGTCGAACGTACAAGAGACGTCGCGAGCGTGCCCTGGCGTACTAATAGCCGCGCAAAAAAAAGCCCCTAATTAGCGATTATATGGATATTTGTCTACGAAGAGACAAGAAGGGGGGCTGAAACTCCTGCCCCTCGAGCTCCCCGATGCCTTTCTTGTCCTTCCAGATATGTGGCCATCGTGGCCTGTCCCCTTCCACTTATCAACAACCTCTCGCTTGCGTATCCTGCTCCCCTCTGGCCAAGACAAGATCCGACTACTGCGATAGGCCGTCGGCATTGGGCAGAACAGCCGTGGCCGTTGAGCACTCCATGCCGTCTCTCCGAACACAGACAGCTAGGCCAACCGCGTTGTGGTACATCTTCACACAACTGCCAGCGCCGCCTCTGCCGGATCTCTCTGCAGTGCGTTGCTCAATGAGGAACCATCGTCTTCTGCCTCCTCCTCTTCCTCGTCCTCCTTCTTTCTGGTTCACTCTTCTTTCGCAAATGTGCCACCATTTCGCGGGTCCCTCCCAACCTCCTCCTCTTCCTCCTCCTCCACCTCCTACTCCTCCTCCTCCTCCTCCTCCTCCTATTCCTTCTCCTGCCTTTTCTTAATCCTTTTCCGCATGCACCTCTTCAATCAACGAACCCAGCATCCAATTAGCCAGCAGTGCGGCCAACAGATCATCCAGCTGAGCGACCACCTGTCCTGCTGGACGCCCAGCTCCTACATAACTTTTCTATCCTCTGCTCGTTGCACATGCCTCCCCCCCTTCTCCCTCCTGCACGATCACTCCTCTTTTCTTTAGCTTTCCTCCTTCACTTTCTTACTTCCTCCTTTTCTCCTCCCTCTTTCCTCCATCATCTTGGGGATCCTGATTAAGGGCCCCGCTCCTTCCGCTCACAAAACAATCATCGAACGAGTCCCAGGATGTTGGAAGACCTTAGCCTCTCGGGGGTGATATTGGGCGGCGTTTGGCCCAAAATGGCTCCAAGATGGCGCCGGAAGCCCTAAGATTGCCTCCGAGATGGCGCAGTATGTGCCAGGTTGGATCAAGATGGTCTCCAGCTTGCCTCCAAATAGGCCTGTAGACGGCCCAAAGATAGCTTCAAGCGGCGCAGGGACAGGGACACCCCCGAGAGGCCCAAATCACTCAACTACCTCAGATCGTTAAACCATGTTTGCATCATAGCTGTTTCGCTTCCGATGAGCTTATGAGGCCCTAAGATGGCTTGAAGATCTCCCGAGAGAGCCCCAAGGGCCCATGAAGGCTCCGATATAGTCTCGAAGGCCTAAGAGGGCTCCAACTGACGACTTTGACAACTTTCGAGGTTCGACGGGGGCGCTAGATAAAGCTGCCCTCGTCTTAGGCCGATGGCCATCAATATGGTCCACACAGGCCTCCTCCGCCTCCTCCTCCTCCTCATCCTCCTCCTCCTCCTCCGTCTCCTCCTCCTGCTCCTACTCTCCCTCCTCCACCCACCGCCCGCCCCATGTCCCGAGCCTGTGGCAGGGTCATCAGCTCGTCGTTGTCGTTGTCGTCTTGGTCGTCGTCATGGTTGTCGTCGTCCTCCTTCTGGGTCGGCGGCACCTTTCCCAATGAATCCTTGGCTGGGGCCTATGAGGAGGAAACTTGGAGGGAGGGTTGGGTGCAGCATCGTTGGTGAGTCTTGGGTTTACTCTCCTCCTCCTCCTCCTCCTCCTCCTCCTCCTCCTCCTCGTCCCCCTCCTCTTCCGGGCGGCGGGGGCAGGGCTAGCCCCGCGCGCGCGGGCGCGGGCCTGAGCCGCACATCGTCACGCAGGGGCGCCCGTCCGAAGCCTTCGCGGCGGCGGCCTGCGCGCGGGATGCCCCCGAAGGAGAGGCGGGCGCCAGCGGCGCGCGCCCGCGGCGACGGCGACGCCGACGACGACGACGAAAACGACGACGACGACGACGACGACGACGACGATACCGACGCCGACGCCGACGCCGACGCCGCCGCCTACACCAACGCCGACGCCGACGACGACGATGATGACGACGACGGCGACGACGAGAAGGACAGGTAGAGGAGCAGCCGCACTGAACTCTTTTTTGAGCGCATCATGTGGAAAGGGAGGGAGGGGGATGGGGAGAGGGGCGCGGCCGCCGGATATTAAACAAATCACCTGTTTCCTCCCGATGCATGCCCAGGCAGACCGATCTGCAAATCGCGCATGGTGGAACGTTCCACGTCGAAAAGGGCGGAAAAAAAGGCAGCAGCTTCATACGCCCACACGCCAATGCGTCGACCGAACTACGGCTGTACAGCGCCACTGCACATCAAAGAAGATTCGCGCGCGCGTAACGCTAACCAGCGAAGACGGCGGGACTCGCACAGGTGCCCAACGCGAGTGAGGTAACGGCGGAAAAAAGGGGAGGCGGAGGGCGGGGAGGGAGAGTGACAGGCCACAACAGCATAGGCTACCTGTACAGCGCCTCCTGCCGAAACAAGGGAGGCAGGCTAGATACGGCCGGCATCATTGCCACGTATTGCCAGCAAGTAAATCATCGAAGCATTACAAATGAGCTCGCCCGAGAGGAAGACAGGGCAGGGGAGGCGAAAAGGGGCCGAAGAGAAGAGAGCAGAATGAGCTGCCCTGCGCCGATGGGACGGCAGCTCGGGCCCGCTCGGGGAGCCAGCCGCGGATTTCTGGGCAAGACGGGGCGAAACGCCTGGCAAAGACGAAGACTTGGCAGAACGCCGGCGCCACCCGCGCGGAACCGACGGGCCCGCGGGCAGACGGTGCGCGCAATCAGGAGGACAGCGCTGCTGCACGGCGCCAACAGGGGTAAACGAAAAAGACAGCATCATGCGAGACACTGCGCACTGCAACGGCCCCGATCGCCAGCGACGGCTTCCATGGAGAAGAGAGGGGGGAGGGAAACGAGGGTGGAGGGAGAACGCCCTCCTGAACGTCGCTGAGGCAATATTCGCCCTCCAGGCGGGCACGACGCAACTGTTAGAAACAGGGGGCGCTACCCCCGCGGGGGGGCGCACGCCAGAAAAAGACAAGTAACCGCCCCCCGACGACAGCAACGGGGGGGGGAGGGTAGAGGTTTTGTCTCAGCCCCCTGGAACATGACGTTTTGCACCGATTTTCCCGTGGAGCAGCAGGATCGAATATGATTAGAAATGGATCCGCCTCTACTGGAATCCTATTAGAAATGGGCCCACCTCGACTGGAATCCTTTTTACATATGCGTCCACCTCTGATAGAATCTTAAAACGCATGGATCGACCCCGAATAGAACCGCATTGCAGATGGATCTACTGCTCATAGAATCGTATAACAGATGGATCCACCTCAAAGAGAATCCTACTACAGATGGATCCACCTTCCATATAATCCGATTAGGACTTGATCCCCCTAATAAAATCCCACGACAGAAGGAGCCACCTCCAATATAATCCCTATGACTAAAATAATCCTATTAGAGATGGTCCACAACTAATGGCATCCCATCAGAAATGGATCCACCTCGAATGGAAGCCTGATACGGATGGATCCACCTCTAATACAATCCTTTTTACAAATGAACCCACGTCTGATAGAATCACATGACATATGGTTCCACCTCTAGTAAAATCCCATTAGCGATGGGTCCACCTCTGATATAATCCAATTAGACATGGATGCCCCTCTAATGGGCTCCGAATACAAATGGATCCACCTCTAATGGTCTCCTATTGGAGATGGTTCCATCCCCAATGGCATGCTATTAGAGATTGGTCCACCTCTAACAGAAACCTATTACAAATGGATCCGCCCCGGATGGAGTCCTATTAAAGATGGATCCACCTCTGCTATAATCCGATTAGAGATGGATCCACCTCTACTGGGATCCTGGCGCGGATGGATCCATCTCTAGCAGAACCCTATGACAGATGGGCCCACCTCTAATATAATCCTACTATATATGGATCCACCTCTGATAAAATCCCATTAGGGATGGGTCCACCTACCTGTGATGGAATCCTACAAGACATGGGTCCACCTCTAATAGACTTCTATTACACATGGACCCACCTCTAATAGGATCATATTACAAATGAGTCCACCCCAATTCAATCCTACCACAGACGGATCCACCTCTAATAGAATCCTAATACAGATGGGCCCACCCCTAATATAATCCCATTACGGATGGATCCACATCTAATAGAATCCTGTTACAGATGGATCCATCTCTAATGGCATCCAACTACAGCTGGGTCCACAACTAATGGAATCCTATGAGAGATGGGCCCACCTCAAATGAAAACCTATCACATATGGATCCACTACAAATGGAATCCGAACAGAGATGGGTCAACCTCTAACAGAATCCTGCTACACATGGATCCACCTCTAATAGAACCCTACTACATATGGATCCACCTCTAATGGAATCGCACTAGAGATGGGCCCACCTCAGATAGAATCCGATTAGAAATGGATCCACCTCAAGTGGGACCCTATTGCGTATGGACCCACCTCTACTAGAATTCTTTGCGGGATGGAGCCACTTCTAATAGAATCCTTTTAAGGGTGGGTCCACCTCTAATGGAATCCGATTAGAGATGGATTCACCTGCAATGGGATCCTATCTGGGATGGGTCCACCTCTAGTGGAGTCCTACTAGCGATGGATCCACCTCTAAGAAGATCCAATTACATATGGATCCATATCTAATAGAATCCGATGAGAGATGGATCCGCCTCTCATAGAATCCGAATAGCGATTGACCCACCATTTACACCCCCTCCCTACATAAGGTTTTCTTCTGTGGCGGGTTACAAGTTGATTCCTTGTGTGGCAAAGTATACATTGATTCCTTCTGTATTGGATTACAAATAGATCCCTTTTGTGGCGAATTACAAATTAATTTTGTTTGTGGCGGATTGCACATTGATTCCTTTTGTAGCGGGTGTCAAATAGATTCCTTCTGTGGCGAATTACAAATCGATTCCTTTTGTGGCGAATTGCAAATTAATTTTGTTTGCGGCGGATTACACTTTGATTCCTTTTGTGGCAGATTACAACTGGAATTCTTATGTGGCGGACTACAATTTGATTACTTTTTTTGTGGCGGGTTGCAAATTGATTCCTCTTGTGGCGGGTTACAAATTGACTTCTTTTGCGGCAGATTACAATTGATTCCTTTCGTGGCGGATTACAAATTAATTCCTTGTGTGGCGGGTTACAAATTGATTCCTCTTGTGGCAGATTACAAATTGATTTCTTGTGTGGCGGATTTCAACTTGATTCCTGTTGTGGCGGATTGCAAGAAGAATCTTTTTGTGGCGAATTACAAATTGATTAATGTTGTGGCAAGCCCAGCTGGTCGTGACCCAGCCCCCCCCCTCCTCCCAGTTTGTTGCGTCTCCATACGCATTCCCATCCTGGAATAGGCTCGAAACCAACGCTTTCCAAGCACGTGCGACACTTGCGCTCCCAAAAGACCCCTGCAAGAGGGTGTCCGTATAGTGCCAATCGTAATCGGCACACTGGATTTTTGCATTTTGACCAGGATGCCGGTTGGCGCCATTTGGGTATGGTGATCCAAGTATCAACTGCATCGATTCGTCCGTCGCCGTATAATAATGCCTGCGTGTAGGCTCCAGGTGCATCACTTTGTTCGCCCGCATATTGTGGCAATAACGCAGTAGCATCGCAAAGTTTGGAAGCCTCAATATGCGAAGCACTGGAAGCGGCGTCGGCGAATATGGCGGCAAAACCAGTTTCATCTTTGCCTGTATTGCCCTGAACCACCACTCGGCCCTTGAATTTGCGTAGATCAGGTGGAAGTTCCTCGTGCTTGACTGAAGATAGCTCCAAGATATTGAAGAAATGAACTTTCGTCCCAGTGCGAATCGCTTGCGACTCGATATCAGCTTTCTCTGCAACAGTCTCCAACATCCACGTTTGTTTCTTCTCCAGTCGTTCGTATTATTTTCGTAGGGCTTCCTGTGCACGTGGTTATGCGGCAACTTCTTTCTTACTCAGGCTTCTGGTAACTAGGGCCGGGCGTGCCCATGAGGAATCGGGGATGTTGTTTCTGTGTGCCGGTGTATAGGTCGTCTCACGTGGCATCGTGGGCATTGCTACCGACTGGGTGAACTGGCGTATAAGCGGGTTCATGGTCCCAAAGTCGGTCCCCTCACTATCCACAAGTACCAAAGCACGTTCGTCTCCAGCGTGCTGCTGTGGGGTTTGGCGGTAGTACAGTACCGTAGTAATGTCACGTGGCCCACCAGGTAGTTTGGCATACAGTATCTCATTGTTCGTCACGCCCTTGACGCTTTCGTCACGGATGACCGCGCCGTTGTCAGTGTCGTACGTAATCCTTCGTTCCACAGTATTCCATGTGGGTCCGCCGGCTGCAGTGGCACGGAAATTGTTGGCCTGTTTGTCCTGTCTTGTCCACACACGAAGTGCAGCTCGGTCACGAATCTCACGAGCTCGTTCAACGTCTTCGGCGTACTCGATTTCTCTGTTGTCCACGAGATAAGGTTTTCCAACGCTCTGGAAGAATGTGATCAGGACGCGTAGTAGTCTGTGCACGTGTCTCGCGGCCACGGACCACAATTTTGCCATCTGGCGTTATTTTTGGAAGCTCATAGAATCGAACCAGGCCGGTCCATGGCTCGCTCAACTCCCTGTGGTCGTTGGCGCTGACACCGTCCCAAACATCGCGAAAGTCACTTTCTCCTTCAAAAGTAGAAGTCGTGGTAAATCTCGTGTCACGTCGAGTTGATCAGCGGGTACAGGTATGTTCATGACGTCGTCCGTAGGGATGAACAATTTCTTGCGTGGGGTACGAATATGTCT